CTCTGTTTAGTTTAGTTGCCCATTTCTTTATTGGTTCGTTGATTTTGGGAGAGTTTAGTTTCTTAAGTTTGCTGCATATTCTGGTTATCAGTCCATTGTCTGATGTACAGCTGGCAAATATTTACTCTGACTCTGTGGTTGGTCTCTTCAGCTTAGAGACCATTTTTTTGTTGTGCAGAAGTTTTTAATCTTAGGAAGTCCCATTTGTCCATTCTTTCTCTTAGTTGCTGAGCAGCTGGGGTTCTATTGAGGAAGTCCTTGTCTATTCTTACTACTTCCAGCATATTCCTTGCTTTTTCCTGTACGAACCTCAGACTTTTGGGTCTCATATTAATGTCCTTGATCCATTTTGAGTTGATACTAGTACAGGGTGATAAACATGGATCTAGTTTCAGTTTCTTGCAGATGATGGTTAACCACTTTTCCCAGGAGCATTTGTTGAAGAGGCTGACTTTTCTCCATCATATATTTTTGGCACCTTTGTCAAAAATAAGGTAGGCATAGTTGTGTGGGTTCACATCCAGGTCCTCTATTCTGTTCCACTGGTCTTCATTTCTGTTTTTTGCAAGTACCATGCTATTTTTATTGCTATTACTTTCTAATATAGTTTGAAGTCAGGTATTGTGATACCTCCAGCATTGCTCTTTTTGCTGAGTATTGCCTTGGCTATTTGCAGTGTCTTGTGTTTCCAAGTGAACTTTAGGGTGGATTTTTCAATCTCTGTGATGAATGTCACTGGGATTTTCATGGGAATTGCATTAAACTTGTAGTTTGCTTTTGGTATTATAGCCATTTTTACTATGTTGATTCTATCAATCCATGAGCATGGAAGATCTTTCCATCTTCTGTAGTCTTCCTCGATCTCTTTCTTCAAGGATTTGTAGTTCTCCTTGTAGAGGTCATTCACATCGTTTCTTAAGTTCAGCTCGTTGCCCCTCCCCTCTTCTCTGGTGTGCTTTCAGCAACCCTTGCCCCCTCAGTCATGCACTAGTTTTCAGTTCTGTTGTTTATTCAGTTTTAATTTTTGCAGGGGAGAGGATCAGCCTGTGCCGGGGGATTGTGCTGATGTATCCCAGGGTGGCTGAGGGATACTGCATGATGCTTGGCTCTCACCTGTTTGGTCTGCTGATGGTCTCCCAAGCACGTTTGGAGCTGGCTGCTGGCAGCAACATTGGGGTGGTGGCCCACCTGTTCTCTGACTGTATTATGGCATGGAGAAGCCTTCTATGGGCTAGGGGTTCAGGGTGCCAATGTTTCAACTCTCCTTGTGCTTCACCTCCACCAAGCATGGCTCCAGTGTCTCAGCAAAGTCTCTGATTCACAGAGCTCATGCTGCCTAAGTTTGTGTCCCAGTCACCATTTGGATCCAATCCAATCCTTTGTTTGTAAGACAAAAATTTGTTACATACAAAATTCTTTCTTATCCAATTTTTTTCTTGAAACCTTTTTTTTACATCTGCCTCTCTCCTCCTTCCTGGTTCCCTTTAACTTTGTTTAACTTTTAACTTTGTTTGTTAACTTTGTTTCTTTTAACCCATCTGTATTCATGACAGAACAAAACATAATTTTCAGTCCACACATAGCTGGAGATATTATATAGCTATTTCTGCCACTTGGATTAAACCATTGTTGGTCTTACATGACTCTAAGAATTACAGAATATTAATTCCAGCTGCAGTTGTCTCAAATAACAAAATTCCCAAACAATCTTGAACAGATCTTAGTAGAAGGCAGAAAGAGAGAAAATATGGAGAGAACCCAGAATCTTTACATGTGAATCACCCTGCAGTTGGAGATAAAGGTACAAAAAACAAATTGATGGTCTGAGTCATGCAAGAGAGGAGGAGAAAGTCACATGTGCAAGTTTGCAAGATGACAGTCTACAGTGGAGAGTAAAACTAAAATGTTTCAATAAGAACTCAGGTAGGCTGTCAGAATCAGAGAAAAATAAAGGCATTTGCTCCTTAACTAGGGATACAAGCAAACTAGCTTGTATCAGGGTCTGCAGACATGGTGGTGAATCCTGGATTGGCCTGGAATCTGGCAAATGTGTCACTAACTTCTGGAAACTGGGTTGTGTGTCAACAACTTCTACAAGTCGGGTCCTTGGATGGTCAGGCTTGTGCTGTCATTTTCTGCAGGTTGTAGTGACTGTGGTCATCAAGACCTTGGTGTATGTCACAAGTTACTCTGTTAACATCAGCAGCCAGGATGTGATTTCTTATCAACATCCAAGACACATTCACCCATCAGGCTTCCTAGCTCTGTGACTAGTATCTATATGACTAGGTCATACATGTTCTGTTTTTATTTTTTTAATGAAATTTCCACACTTTTTTCATAACTGCTGCACCATTTCACATTACTAACAGCATATAAGGATTTCAGTTTCTCCATCTCTGGACTAACATTTTATCTTTCATATCAACCTTATTATCTTACATTCTTGTCTTACTTTTTTAAACCTGCTTAACTTGATCCCAGCAGTGAAAATGGTGCAGCATTTCATGATGTCTTCAATTCAGGGAAGGTTTGGGGCCAAGGATCCCTACAAAGTGTGAGAGTAAAAGTCTCTCCAAATACTTGGCCATATTTTACACGTGGACCTAGAAAGATTCCAACTTGGATGCTAATTTCCAGAGTATATATGCAACCCCAGTGAATGCACCGTTACTACACTGGCACAGCAGAAAATGAATTGGACTTCACTTCAGATTTAAGGTAGGATTTTCAGTAAGCCTAATTAACAAGAACGACTTGATTTTAGAGGTGATTGCTACAGGTAAGTACATCACACACTCTGATTTTTATACTTTTATCACCTTCACCAATTTAAGAATAATTTTTCTTTTTTGTTTAGCATTTTTATATAGTTTCAGGTTAATCTTGGAGTTCTGAATATGTTATTTAGTTGATGTGTTTGACAAAACTATTAAAGGTTATTTTTCCAATAAATCCTTGACACATCTGGACTCCATACAGCATAGTTTTACACACTCACAAAAGACAATATCTTTCTATACTAAGCTCCCAGACTGCAAGCTGGGGTAAATGACTTTTACAGGGCACTTAACTTGTTCAGATATCTCTAATTCTTTTTGGATTTTGTTGGTGCTACCATTTTCTCAAAGTGAAGAAAATAATTAAAAACTCAGTCATTAACTATTGATAGTTCAATTTGAAGACATACAATGAAATGAAATAAAAATAATTTTAGCATAAACATAGTCTTCTTAGCTACACTTATTGGCCATTTAAATTTGTTTATGTCCTACTCAAAGAGTAAAGTGTCTTATTTCACAAACATCACTAGTTAGTCTTCTCAACATCAAAATTTTGACTGATTCCTTCCAGCTTTGAAGTTATGCTGTAGACTTTTGAGTCAGACAGAACTCAGATTATATTCCAGTCACTTCCCACCTGCTGGAGTTGGAAAAATGGAGATGTCACATCTGAAAATGTCACTAAATGTTGTGGTCATTAAAGAATAATGCATTCAACTTGCTTAACACAAAACAGACATATACTATCTACTAAACACTTGATTTTATTGGAAGTACTGGGGCTTGAAGTCAGGGCTTTAAACTAGCTAGGCAGGTACTCTACCACTTCTGCCATGCCTGTAGCAATTTTCACTCTGATTATTTTTGAGATAGGATTTCACTTTTTTTCTAGACCAGCCTGGACTGTGACCATCAAATTTTAAGCTTCAAACTGCTTGCTGGGATGACAGACATGCATCCACCACGCCAAACTTCATCTCATTGAGATTGGGTCTCACAAACATTTTGCCCAGACTGCCCCTGAACTGCCATACTCCCAATCTCATCTTCCCAAGAAGCTAGGATGACAGGTGTGAGTCATCAGAAAATGGATTAATTAGTTGATTTTAAACTTCCAATTACAACCCAAAACATGGTAAAGGAAAAAAGTATGAAAATTGATATGAAGAAATAAAAAGGAACAATTGGCTGAAAAGAAGAAAAAGAATGAAGAAGGGTAGAAATGAAAGAAATATGAAAGGAAGGCAAAAGGTTAAAAAGGCATGGAGAGATTGCACAAGGAAAGAATTAGGAAAAACAACCTCATGCTCTGGCTTATAAAATATAAATATTTCCATGAGATAAAATTATGCAATAAAGATGACTACTTTAAAGATGAATAAACATGCAATTTGTATTATATCCCAAGAGTGACACTTAGAATGAAAAGAAGCTGTAGCATATCATTCAAGCTAGTCTCTAAAAAGAAATTTCCCTTACCTGTTGGTTAAGGACCAAATAATACATGATAATACGTGACATTGCTCAGGCCAGGGAATGTACGATTTTTGCAGAAATATGCTCTCATGAGAAAATTCAAAGTTTAAGAATATACAGTATATAATCCTGCAAATGTGTAATTAGCCTCTTTAGTCTCTGTTGGAATATGAATATTCACTCTCCAGTCATTTGATGAAAAGTTTTCCCATACTTTGCAATAGACTTTGCTTCAATCCAGTCTGCTCATTGCTTAGCAATAGATTTATGTCCTAGAATTATGTGTTCATACCTGAAATGTATTACTAGATGATTTTCTGCTATTCGCTCTGGTACAATAAAGACACTCCAAATATATTTTACAGCTGTGCACTGAAGAAAATTCTTTGGGACTCCCTAAAGAATGTAAATCAAGGCTTAGAAAAGATGTTAAAAGAAAACATTTACTGCTGACATTTTTAATTAAAATATTCATTTCCACACCTGTGTGTATTGTACTTCTGCTGAGTAATTGCTGACCCGACTTTCTGCACCTAAGTACCCTCCCTGCTTAGACTCATGTCTGTGCACACATCTGCATTCAAGAAACACCTATTTTAAATTCTGGTTTTAGTGAAATGCCAAGGCTTTGATTTGAACTGTTTTGGTCCTTGGAACCTGAACATTTAGTTCTACTTTCTATTCCAGGAGTTCTCAGTTCACCTCTTTTTCTTTATATATTGTTAGAACATAGTGTACTAGATAGAAGAAGCAAACCAGTCGGTGGTGTCTGAGTTTGTTTTTCAGGGACTTTGCACCTCAAAGGAACTACAGATCTTTCTATTCCTGCCATTTTCTACAATCTACCTGATGACTGTGGTGGGCAACCTTTTTGTTGTGATAGTGATCATCACTGATCACCGTCTGCATTCTCCCATGTACTTCTTGCTAGCTAATCTCTCATTTGTTGACTTCTGCCTTTCCTCAGTGACCACCCCTAAGCTGACCATCGATCTCCTACAGGACAACAGGACTATTTCCTTTGGGGGCTGTATGATCCAGATCCTCTGTGCTCATTTCTTTGGAGGGGGTGAGATTGTGCTTCTTGTGACAATGGCTTATGACTGTTATGTGGCCATCTGCAAGCCACTCCATTACACCAGCATCATGGACAGACAGAAGTGCATTGGACTAGTTTTGATATCATGGGTCATTGGCTTTTTACATGCAATGAGTCAACTGCCCATGATACTGGAACTGCCCTTTTGTGGACCCAGAGTAGTGGACAGCTTTTTCTGTGATATCCCTTTAGTGATAAAATTAGCCTGCAGGGATACTGATACCTTGGGAGTAGTGACAAATGTTGACAGTGGTGTTTTAGCAACAACTTGCTTCATTCTCTTGTTGATTTCCTATACTTACATCCTGTTAACTGTCTACCTTCACTCTACAGATGGTGCATCAAAGGCATTCTCTACTTGCACATCCCACATCATAGTCGTGGTGCTGTTCTTTGGACCCTGCATTTTCATGTATTTATGGCCTGTCCCCATCACTTGGGTGGAGAAGTTTCTTGCTGTGTTTAACACAGTGATCACACCTCTCCTAAATCCAGCCATTTACACACTGAGAAATAAAAATATTAAGAATTGCATAAAGAAATTGATAAATCAGCATGTGAATACAAGTAATAATTGTTAGATATCGCATGTAATCAGATAATCCACTGAGGCACCCAAGTTTGGCGACATTTTGGCTTACAAATTTAACTGTATGTATGACTCATTTATTTCTGTAAATGTTGAGTGACCACAGATATACAGTTTATATATTTTCTATTATGAAAGTATGTTTTAAATTAAATATTTATATTCTTACCACTAGAAAGCACAATCCTCAGTAAAATTCCTTTGTGCATGATCAAAGATCGTAAGATGGTAATAATGAAGATGCTGAAAGTAATAATTGCCATAATTAATTATATACTACCTATGTTGTTAACTCTGTGTGTGACATTTCACCCAGATGATATACTATTTACTGTTTACAAACTCACTTGAATTAGTCATTATTTCCATTTTTAAAAATACAGCATCGCATGTCTAAATTAGCTCGAAAGCATACTGAAGATATTTGCATGGTCTCCATCCACATAGAAAAATGATAATGAATCTAAGCACAGTAAGGCTGCTTTGCTTTCCATGACATAATCACTGTCAGGTTTTGAGTCTTGGCTATTCATGTACTTGCAGAGTTTCCCTTGACTTCTTCCTTAAATATGCAGGAAGAAGTGTTGACAACACTTTGATACATATTTTCTTAGTTAACAAGTGATTTTTACAATTTTAATGTATCTTGCATGGAAAAATAACACATATAAATGTTTTGGCAGTTTTCCAAAGCAAAATTTAGATTCATGCAAAGAAAGCCAAAGAGAACCCATCAACAGCACAGTGCAACTGACAATTCATCCTCTGCAGACTTCAGATAACATGTAGTAATTCACTGTGTACACAAGTTTCCTGCTAACAAAACCCTCACCTGACAACAGCCCCCTAAGAAATCTCACACATACACCCCCACACACAAATGCACACATTCACACAATATGTAACACATTAAAATATATAAAATATCATATATACATATTCAGAACATATATGTCTGTGCATGTGTGTGTAAATGGTAAAACATACAGAGAAAGAAATAGAACAGCAAGAATGGGAACAAATATTCAAAACCAGGAGTGAAAAGGAGAGCACTCAAGGGATGCTGCACCCTTCAAGGTATAACATGACATTGTGTACAGCTTTATGCCAATGAATTTAAAATTACACGAAATGGGGTAACAAAACATAGTTACTAAAGCAAGAACATACTTTATTAGTGGGTCTCATTATTACATTTTCAAACAGGTGTATGATGGACTTTGACCATATTTACACCCTCGTTTCCCCTGCTTACTCTCCCCTCTATGCTTCTCACTGGCTCACTTTGTAATTCATGATAGTATCACTTTTACTTTCATGTCCCTTTTAATTTTTTCCCTAAATTCCACATAAAAGAGGTAATTAGGAGAACAACCTTCCAGAGTCTGGCTCATGTCATTTAACTTGATGGTCTCCAGTTCTGTTTTCCTGAAAACATGATCTTATTCTTCTTTGTGACTGAATAATAATCCATTAGGTGTATTTACCACTGTTTGTTTATTCGTTCATCACTAAGGCTATTTCCATGGTGTGGCTTTTGTGACCAGTGCTGCCAGAAGCATGGTCTCCAGGAGCTCTGTTGTGTGCTGCCTCTGATTCCTTTGGGATATGCCCAGCAGCACCATTACTGGATCATATGGCTGCTCTTTTTTTAGTTTTTTTTATGTGCTTCTATACTGTAAATTCTGGTTTCCATCATTTTCAACTCTGGTACAAAGGTTCAATAACAAACATAATAAACATAATTACATTCATAGTACTGTGTTATTGGATAGACATTTTATAAAGAGATATAAGCTGCAGTTCCACAACCCAATTATGACGATGGGGTGGACAAGTAAAAGAATGACTTTTATTTGTGAGCAATCAAGTTGTGCTTATGTAAAACTAACATGTTATTATAACTATAAGATATTTTATGTAAGCCTCACAATAACCACAACAAAATGCATAGAGTTAAATATGTAGTAATTAAAGGAAATAAGTCAAAGCACATACCTTTAAATCTGGCAAAACCTTAAGGAAAACCATGAGATGTGAACAAAAAAAATAAAGGAAATGTAAAAAGTCATAACAGAATTCATGAAGTGGCAATGTTAAACCATTAACTCTCAATAATTCTTTTAAATATAGTTGGATTATATTCTCAAGACACATGTTATAGCTGGATTGACAAAAATAAAAGAATATATGTATATATATTTGTGTCTACATTATCTTTTGGATCTATTTCCCACATATGAAAAAAAATATGTGACCTTAGTTTTTCTAAACCTGGCTTATTGCATTTAATATTCTTTTTTAGGGCTAAGTAATACTCCATTGTGTACATATAACACATTTTCTTCATCCATTCATAGTTATGGTGCATCAGACTATTTCCATAGCTTAGCTACTTTGAATAGTGCTGCAATAAACATGTGTACAAGTGTCTTTACTGTATCCTGACTTGCATTCCCTAAGATATTTTCCCAGGATCATATGACAGTTCTATTTTTAGTTTTCTGAGGAGCTTCCATACTGTTTTCCATAGCAGTTGCACTAATTTACATTCCCACCAACCCTCATGAGGTTTTTTCCCCACATGCTCACCAACAATTGTTGTTATTTGTGTTCTTGATGGTAGCTATTCTAACAGGAGTGAGGTGGAATCTTATTGTGGTTTTGATTTCCATTTCATTTATGGCCAGGGATGGTGAGCATTTCTTCATGTGTGTTTTCAACATTTGGATTTCTTCCTTTGAAAAGGTTCTGTTTAGTTCATTTGCCAATTTTTCATTGGGTCATTAATTTTTTTGTAGTTTACTTTTTTGAGCTCACTGTATACTCTGGCAATTAATTTCTTGTCAGATGTATAGCTGGCAAAGATTTTCTCCCATTCTGTGGGCTACCTCTTCTATCTAGTGACCACTGCTTTTGTTGTGTGGAAGCTTTTTAATTTCATATAGTCCCATTTGTCAAAGCTTTCTCTTAATTGCCAAGAAACTGGTATTCTATTTGGGAAGTTACTACCCATGCAAAGAAGTCATTCTCTGTCTTTTCCTATAGGAGTTTCAATGCTTCAGGCCTTACATGAAGGTCGTAGATCCACTTTGAAGTGAAAGACAGAGTGGAAGACATGGATCTAGTTTCAATCATCTACATGTAGATATGTAGTTTCTCCAACAACATAGGTAGGAGGATCCTACCTATGACCTCCCATGCAGCTAAGATTACAGGCATGAACCACCACACCTGCCTTATTTGTTAAGAAACAGTCTTGCTAGCACTTTTGCCCAGGCTTGCCTCAAAGTATAATCCACCCTCCCTCTGTCTCTTGTTATGTTTCAACATACCTAAATTTTTTGACTTAGGTTTCCCATAACCTTTGCTTACTTCTTGGGCACCATTTCCTTTGGGGGAGAAAGGTTTTCATAAAATTAAAGGCAGGAAAACACTCAGCATTATCACATAATGATTTAAACACCACTGACAAAAATGACAGAGTGCCTCTCCTCATCAACTGAGATTTGTAATAGAAACATGAGAAATAAAAAATGTTGCTTTTTAACTTTCTTTCATTTTTTTTCCTATCATACCAGGACAAACCCATGTTTAATCGAGGCATGAATAAGACAGGATTACTAAAGTGCATTTAAAAGTATTTTTCCATTGTTCATTTTCATTTTGAGAAAGGCTCACAGCGTGGTTTACAAACACACTCTCAATTTTTAGAACTCTACAGAGAATGACAGTCCCAAAGGCTACTCTGAGTGACAGGAGTTAAATAGCTCATGAGAAAAATGACATTGTGCCAGTGCTGAGCTAAGAGCCATTCGCACATCACTCTGAACTTAGTTCCAGAGGGACATCTTGGATCTATTTTGTTATGTGGCAGGTATAAATAAGGAACATTACATCTTCCTAACAAAGAGAATAATAAAAACATGCTCCTTTAACAGTTTTGCTTGAATACAACAACTGCACAATAACTGCTTGTATTTAATGTGCAAAATGTGATAGATTTGTAACTATGCTCACATCTGAAAGATGATCTCTACAAAATAGTCTCAGACATACCCACCCTTTCCAAAATATTCTTGTGTTCCTTTTATTTTGTTCATTTTTTGCATAGGCTTATTTGGAAGGTTCAAAGGGATCATTCTTTTTTCCTTCTTTGTGATTTTTTTATAGGAACACAGCATGAGATCTTCCCTTAGCAGATATTTAAGGTCAGAAATGTATTATTAAATATAGAACTATGCTGTATAGAAGAGCTCTAGAATTTATATGATAATTAAATCTTTGCAATGAAAAAATTGAGAAAGAATATAGGAAAACAATTCCATTTACAAGACCCTCAAAAAAATCAATTGCCTAGGAGTAAACTTAACAAAAGATGTGAATGACCTCTACAAGGAGAACTACAAACTACTTAAGAAAGAGATAGAGGAAGACTACAGAAGGTGGAAAGATCTCCCATGCTCATGGATTGGCAGACTTAACATAGTAAAAATGGCTATGCTACCAAATGCAATCTACATGTTTAATGCAATGCCCATCAAAATCCCAATGACATTCATCACAGAGATTGAAACTTCTACCCTAAAGTTCATTTGGAAATACAAGAGACTGAGAATAGACAAGGCAATACTCAGCAAAATGAGCAATGCTGGAGGTATCACAATACCTGACTTCAAACTATTTTACAAAGTAATAGCAATAAAAACAGCATGGTACAGGCAAAAAAATAGACATGAAGACCAGTGGAACAGAATAGAGGAACTAGATATGAATCCACACAGCTATGCCCACCTTATTTTTGACAAAGGTGCCAAAAATATATGATGGAGAAAAGACCACCTCTTCAACAAATGCTGCTGGGAAAAGTGGTTAACCGTCTGTAAAAAACTGAAACTAGATCCATGTTTATCACCCTGCATTAGTATCAACTCAAAATGGATCAAGGATCTTACTAGCAGACCAGAAACTCTGAAGTTAGTATAGGAAGGA